GTGTTTGTTCTGTTGGTCGCTAGTGTGTGTGTGTGCGTGCGTGCGAGTNCGGTGTATATGTGTGTGAGTGTTTGTGTGTGTGCGTGTGTGTGTTTGTGTGTACTTGACCTGACTGATTGTTTGTCCAGCATTTGATGTTTAATGACTGTAGAAAGAGCAGACCATATGGGGATTGGATCTGCTCTTTTCCTTTGAGCGCTTGATAATGATTGATAATTTTTTAATAATTGACTGCGTTCAGTTTTTTAAACATCTATCTTACCGGTTGATGTTTTTTAGGGTCTAAAATTTTGAATAAAATCACCATAAAAATGTTCATGAAAAAAAAAACATGAAGAGACAAAAACATACGTACTTTTGTACATATCTTGGAGCACAAGTACCCCCCTACGCATCCAAGTTAAAGCAAGCATCCACACACATAACGCTAAAACTGAATAAAGATTTATAAAAAAGTTCAATGTTCTAAATGTTTTAAATCAAAATTACAATTTAAATAATGAATTTGTAACTATTTTAACATTTAGCAAAGTTTTATTTGTTAAATTTGTAGCATAGAGATATAAAAATTGAAGAATTCGCAAAAAAATTCTGTCAACTTTAAAAAAAACAACTAAGCCCTTTTTTTTAACAAACATTCCTCTTTAAGCCGTTTCTCAGAAATAATGTTGAAAATATTTGTCACAGCTACTGTTTTATATCATTTCATGTTTATTCACTACTTGATTTTTGTCCTACATAAATGATACTGGTTAAAAATTTGAGTCAAAAGTTCGAAAAACTTGAGGAATCTGATCTGTATATTTTTAATTTAGTGGCAAGTAGCAAATAATGGAAGGAATATTTTTTCCCTAGCAGGCATTTCCACATTTTCAATTGTGGCGTTGCAGGTTTTATGCGGTTTGCACGCATGTCTGGTTGTTTGATGCGGGATGACAAAAACGTGAAGAGAAACAAACCGCAAATAAAATGAAACAACGGAGCGAAAACAACCAACCTTTGAAAAATGTTATATTATATAATTAGTAACGACATCATCACCATCACCACGTCACATTCACCATCGCTATCATCATCGTCGTCATTATCATCTTCATCATCATCACCGTCATCCTCACCATCATCATTGTAAGCCGTAATTTTTGTATTCATGTGAAGCAAATGAAGGAGATGCTGATACCATCAGCGATAGCAAACAGAATGAAGTCCCATTGCATACATTAACGCGACATAAATTTCATTTTAACAGTTTCTATTAAGTCGTTGCAGTGAGCTAAACTGAAGCGATGATCGTTTGTAAACATCATTTTTTTGGTTTTACCTGCAATCAAATGTTGTTGAAAATGGACAAGTTTTAAGTCTATTTTAAAATTTATATTTATATGATCTTTTTCTTATTTCAAACT